AGCAGCTCTTTTCCTACTTTTTCTTGCCTCCACCAACGCCCACCCTATTCTCAGGGAGAAGATGGAGCTAATTTGACTCTACTTAAGGGTCAAAGTCGCCAATGTCCTAGTGGAGGGAGGCACTGCAGTGACACCCATCGGTCCCCCTTCACTGGTGAGCACAGCACTGTCTCCGGCTTTGGTGGGCAGCTGCAGCTGAGAAGGGGACGAATGACTCCAGAGACTCCTCTGGAGCCCTGAGCTGGGGCCAAGTGCACAGCCCAGCTGTCCAGAGAGCTCTGTGACGGAACACGGGGGCCAGCTGACAGGAACTGGGGCACTTTTAAATTTAGCATTTGTCCTCACCCTTTAGGTTCATGGTTTCTTGAGAGTCTCGTGTGGAAAAAGAGGTGGAGACCAGAAGGAGAAAATGGAAATTCCAGATCCCTGATTCTAGTACTTTCTAATACCTCCTGATTCCTAACAGAGCAGGGAATGGTATTTTGTGTTGAGAATAACACACTTAAAAAAATCTCTCTGGTCTTTGAATTAGCTTGACAGGTACAAATGGTTCAACCCCTAAGCCTCCTAGCCAGAGAATCTTTTCAGTACGGAGTGATTGGGTGGGATACCACTTGGGATAGAGCTGATGATAGTAAAAACATATTTTTAAGTAGATTTTCCTTATTTGTTTTCTTGGAATTTTGTTTGGTACTTTTAAAGGAATTGTATTATTATGTAGGTTGGTTGTTCAACAATATTTCAAATCTATCATCTGTTGACTCTTCCTTTCGCTACAAACCAATGAAGGCAGAGAGAGATCGTTTTTACTTAAGTCACATCTAACATAAGGAAATAATTCTTTCCCAATCTGCACATTTAGAGGGTAAAGTTACAGCCTCTGTTAAACTTTTTATGCCATACTCGCACTGCTCTCAAATTCGTCAACATTTCAAGCAAAGTGCTACCTAATTTTAGTGGGTGTACATGAAGGAAAGTGGGTCATTTCCTTTAAAGCTGAAGCTACAGGCTATTAATGTGCTGTGCTGTACCACATGACAATCTCTTTTTATGTTTCAAGTTAAAAATTTTAAACAGTCCTATATTTGTCATTGTGATTGTTGCTACAATACTGCTGTCCCTTGCCTCTTTCATCCTCAAGTGTATACAAATATTCCTCCTAGTTCACAAGTTTCTATTTCTTTCATTGATACCCAGTGTTTGTGAACTGGGGATGATGTCCTTAGTAATGAAAGACTATAGACCGCGACAAATAGTACCTGGGCTTCTTTATCACAAGGTAGAACTAGAGCACTTGTTATTGTTGCAATATTGTGATCTTGAATAAAAGTCCCAATTCCCACTGCAGCCAAATCAAATGAGCTTGTGTCGGATTTTATTCACCAGAATCGTGGTTAATGCAGTCCTCCTCTATGGCATTAGTTAGGGCCTGCCCAGGACTGCTGAAGAGCCGGCTTTGTGATTTACCTGACTCAGTATGTGATCAAGCATCTCCATTATTGGAATAAAATGAAAACTTTCAAGATCATGGTCATGCAATAGAGGAAACAATTTTACCCTAGCACTAACGCTCCAATGCTACACTAATCTACAGTAATTCTGTTATTGCATTTGGAAGCAATTCCTTCTATTCACTCAGAGATAACTGTTACAATACAATAGGCTGCCTCCTGCCTTTTCCCTTCAGTGAGCAAAATGTGCTGCTCATTGCAAAGAAATCTAGCAGTTGTAGGCTACAGTGTTTGTTTCTATTCGAATTAATGTGTGCATGAAGACCATCAGGAGGTTTGTTTTGTGTTGTGAGGTTATCATGAAACGTATATATGGGGTATAGGACATTTAAGCAAAATATGCTTGGGGAGGAGATTATTGCCTTCCTCAGATTTTAGTGAGAAATCTAATAAAAGATTCTTTGACTCGAGTAGTCCCACCAGTGCAACTCTGGCTCAAGAACTGAGCTGCCTGGATGGTTTCGGTATCATTATGTAAAGGAAAGTATTTGTTAAACAAATATTACACATTCACTCTCTATGTACCACTATGGATTTGACTCACTGATTGTTCTCTTTATGTCTTAAGTTTAAACCTTGATTCCAGATTTAAACCAATCATGCTAGGTAGAAGAAAATGAATTTTATTTGAGAAAATGACCAAAAGCCCCTGCTACTTCCCATTTTTAACTTGCCCATTTGATGTTAACATTTTTTACATCAGAAAATACTCCTTTCTATATGTCTACAAACTGACAATTATTTCAAATCATATCCTTCTTCCACACCTAGAATGAGGAAAGGATAGCAATTCACAACCAATATGAGGTATACATATTCATTTAACAGTACTTCCATTTTTCTTTTATTATAAGAATTTTCTAATTTTCTGTTTTATTAATCTTCTCTGCCAACTGTATCATGGGAGGCTTCTTTTAAAAACATAATTTTGGCCATTCTGACCTTTACTCTAATAAAACAAAGCAGATCATCTAGAAATGACAGATTATTATACAGTTGGCATCATTGGATCTCTTAGTTAAAATCCCTGTTACATGTTAAACATTTAGGCTCAAAATGTTATTCCTGTCACTGTATGGTGTCAACTTTCTTGCAAACAAGCTAAAATAAACATGAATGATGTAAAGCTTATAACTGGAGAAATCAACAGTATCTGGGGAATGTAAAAGAGGAGGAGTTGAGTATCCACGGCCAAGAGAATTCAAGGAATGAAAATCCCAGGCTAATCACCCCAGACATCTTTGCTTGATTTGATTAAAACATATGTTTTGAATGATGCGATGTGTAGATTTAAAAATAGTAACAAGTCAAAGTACAGCTTGATCCTTCCCTAAATCGGGGAAATGAAGTCCCAATGATTACTCAAAGAGAGGTAGTAGAAGACAAAGGGCATTATAAAACCTATTTTTAATCCCTACCTTTGTCTCTCTTAAGAGTCTTAGAGCATATAATAGAAGTTTCTGAAGCAAGATGGCATTACTATATTTAATGCAACAAAAAAGGAGAGGATTTTGCATACATTTGCAATAATAAAGATAATGTGTTTATTTTGTATGAAACATGAAACCAAAGAATATTACTGACTTTTGGAGGCTTTGTTTTACAGGATAAAAACCATCAGATTCCTTTCCTGTCTGTATGAATATCTCAAATCCTTAAATTTTGCTCCAAAGCTTTCGATTAAGTGCTGAGTGACATCAGTGTGCCAAAAGCTGTGCTGTAATAATATTCAGAGAAAGCACAAAGTGACAAGACTTGAAATGAAAGTATTAAAAATATTCTCGCCACACATCATTTTCTTATGTTATTCACATATCAGCAAAATATGTTTCCCTGTCCTCTAATAGTAATGGCTGTTTCTTTGCGTTGATCTTTATATAGAATTCCCGCTATCCCTCCTTTCCTTTTTGACTATGATTCTAAACATAGCCACTCAGCAGAGGCAGAGGGGGTTCACAGTCCAAAGTCATGAGCACAGAAGTAAACACATGGAGGTAGAATGTGGTGCCATAAGCTAGCAAATACCGTAACATGCCACTCAGGCATCTATACGTCTAAATGCCTGGCATTCTTCCCTTTGAACTTCTCTTGTATAAATGCAAGCAAGCAGGAGAGACAGAATCTTGTCTTCAGGAACAGCATTACAATGCTTGGCTTGATTCCTTACCTCCCCCCTTCCCCCTAACTTTTTAGATAGGAAAGTTGAAGCTTTTAAGTAACACTTGAATACTCAGGGAGACAAGTTCAGAGGATTCTTTTTTGACTTTGTAGCTTCTCAGCTTGAGCTGATATTAGGTATGCCTCACTGCTGTCAGCCTTAGAAGATCTATCGTCCAGTCCTCACCTCCTGGATGAAACACCACTGAGTGTACCTTTGAAAACCTCATTGCTTTATGTTCTCAGCATTGGACTTGCTTCCCACACATGGTTATCAGCATTGAGTTCATTCTCTGAAAGCCATATATTCTAAAAGATTTATTACTAACATGAGGGCCAAAGCAACGAACAATATAAAAAAAATGTTGCTTTTCCTACCTTTATTAGTGCCAATTCATACGTAAATATAACTTTCCCAGCAAAACTTTTTGGGGGAACCATCTGAAATAACATGGAAATGTTCATATGGGATCATAAATGTTCATATGAGAACCGCTTTTCCTTTCCTCTGATATCTTTGACATCCATACCCAAAGTCAACCTGGGAGGTGTTTGCCTCCTATATCTATCTGTACTTTTGAAATTCAGGTTACTAAATACAGGACAATTACAAAGCTTTTGACAACTAAAAAGACATTGATGTATTAGGAAAATTATTTTGGATAGTGCTGAGAGTATTTGTGATGACAAGATTATTTTAGACACTAAATGTATACTTTAGGGGAAAAGTTCTAAATTCAAAATTCTTGTTGAAACATCCAGGGTATATGCAAAGAAAGAATAACCCTAAGTGGGTTTCTCTTCACCATTTTTGAGTGAAGGTAACAGAAGAATCAAGTCTTCAACTCTCAGGGAATAGGGACATTCAAATTTGCTGATTTTTTGGATATTATTATTAGTCAGACTTGAAGAGGTAACATGCTACCTGTCTTATTAGCCATCATTCAGCCTCAATGACCCGACACATTCAATATGGGCATATCCTGGGGCATTCACTGTCCTAATAAACATTGTTCTCACAGGAAAGAACAATAAGAGGAAAATCTAAAACCTCCCCAGAAGTTTCCAGATGGAGAATATTTTTCTCTTCTCCTAGTATAATACTTAATAAGTGCTGAATGTTGCATGGAAACCAATCCAGGTATTGAGGGGCCTAAAGTTATACCATTTGGGGGAATCTTTTTAAGAGAAAAGATTATAAAATTAATAACTAAAGTCAATTTTTATTTTGCATGAGAAAAATCACGACAAATTAAAATTTTTAGGAGGTTGTCACAAACACCACAAAATTTAGAAAAAAAAGAGCATAATATTTTATTAATTAACTGCCCAGCATACCTCTATAATACTTCTCTTTCTTTTGGTTGAATTCTCTGAGTGTCTCTTCATAGAACAATGTGATATCATTTTCTGCAGAGAGAATAGAAAGATGATTCTGTTTTGTTTTTATAGCATGGTTGATTGAAATTTGTTGTTATTGTTTTTATATTACTGACAATTTAGAAAATTTTCTTTTAGGTTCAAAATCACTATAGTAACATACCACAAATTTTTATGGGAAAAACCTCTATAAATTCTCTTTCATATTTGGCTATAAGATTTTTTTTTGGAGACAGAGTCTCGCTTTGTTGCCCAGGCTAGAGTGAGTGCCATGGCGTCAGCCTAGCTCACAGCAACCTCAAACTCCTGGGCTCAAGCAATCCTACTGCCTCAGCCTCCTGAGTAGCTGGGACTAGAGGCATGTGCCACCATGCCTGGCTAATTTTTTCTATATATATTCGTTGGGCAATTAATTTCTTTCTATTTATAGTAGAGACGGGGTCTTGCTCTTGCTCAGGCTGCTTTCAAACTCCTGAGCTTGGGTAATCCTCCCACTACTGCCTCCCAGAGTGCTAGGATTACAGGCGTGAGCCACCGCGCCCGGCCCTTGGCTATAAGATTTTAAGAATATTTTACAGATAGCTCCTATGTATTTTGTTCTCCTTCATTACTCCCTCCCTTCTTGGTGGCAAAAATGACAGGATATATCTGTTTTGCAGTTACTTTCTGGCCCTATGACACCATTTGATCATGACACAGGGTGAATCAGGCAGTTACAACAGGAGTGTTGCTGGAGGGCCATGCATATACCAGGACAACTAGAAGCTTCTTACCTTGGAGTTAGTGTGACATTAAGTTTCTTTTGTGGGTCTCAGGGCAATTGTGGCCCCTAGACAAAGCAATAAAATGTACCACTTTAACTTCCTCTGGCTACTTCTCCAAAATCCCTGCAGCTTCACCCATACCACTTATCACAAGGAGAAGGAGCTGGAGGAGAAATTAGAGTGGGAAAGGACAATAGTCTTAGCCAATTGCAGTTAAAATATCTTACTTTTGCAACCTTTACAAAACACGCAGCCATGCATGTGAACAGAGTTTCCTCCTTAGCCCTTGGCTGGGCCTATGCAAGTGAGGATTTAAGCTTTATTGATTCCATAATATCTGGAACCAAATGCTATTTTAAGATATTTACATGCAATATTTTGTTTTATTTATTGAGATATAACTCATATGCTATAAAAGTCAACATTTTAAAGTATACAATTCAGTGGATTTCAATATACGTCTAAGGCTGTGCAACAATTGCTACTATCAAATTCCAAACATTTTCATCGCCCCTGAAAGAAACCCTGTGCCTGTTAACAGTCACCTGACTTTCTCCTGCCCCAAACCCAGCCCTTGTCAATCACCAGTTTACTTTCTATTTCTATGGAGTTGCATATTCTGGATGTTTCATATGCATCAGACCATATGAGATATGGTCTTTTGTGTCTAGCTCCTTTCACCTAGCAGAATGTTTTCAATCATAAATTAGTACTTCACTCCCTTTAAAGGCTGAATAATGTTCCATTGTACTGATATATCACATTTTGTTTCTCTAATCATCTGTTCATGGACATTTGTGGTGTTTTCCACACTTTGGCTATTATGTATAAGCTGCTATGAACATTTATGTCCAGGTTCTTATGTGGATATACATTTTCAGTTCTCTTGAGTGTAAACTTAGGAATGGAATTTCTGGGTCATCTGGTAACTCTATTTTTAGATTTTTAAGGAATTGCCAAACTGTTTTCCTAAGCAGCTGTGTTATTTTACATTCCTACTGGCAGTACATGAGGGTTTCCCTACATACTCACCAACACTTCTTACTTACTGATATTTTGATAATAGCCTTCTTATTCGGTATGAAATGGCATTTCATTATGGTTTTTATTTCCATTTCCCTAATGATTAATAGTGTTGAGCATCTTTTCTTGTACTTATTGGCCATTTGTATATCTTCTTTGATGAAGTGTCTATTCAAATATCTTAGTCATTTTTAAATTGGGTTATTTGTCTTCTCATTATTGATTTATAATAGCCCTTTATATATTCTAGATACTAGTCTCCTATCATATATATTATTTGTAATTATTGTCTCCCATGTGTGGGTTGCTTTTTGCTTTCTTGAGAGTGTATAAGTCTTACACTTCTTTGTTATATTTATTCCTAAGTATTTTGTTCTTTTTGATGTAATTGTAAATGGAATTTGTTTTTAAGCAAAATTGTTTCATTGCCAGTATATAGAATTGAGATGCTTTTTGTATATTGATCTTTACTTTTTAACCTTGCTGAACTGACTTATTAGCTCTGATAGTTTTAGAATTTTTTTTGTAAGAATTCCTTGGCATTTTCTCCATACAAGATTATGTCATCTGCAAATAGAGATCATTTTTTTCTTCCCTTCCAATCTGGTTGCCTTTAATTTCTTTCTCTCTAAGAAATTTCTTTCTCTCTAAATTTTCCAACTTTGTATTTCTGGGACAAATCCCACTTGGTTGTGGCATATAAATCTCTTTATATATCACTGGATTCAGTGTACTTGTATTTTACTGATATTTTTTATGTCTATATGTATAAGGGATATTGGTCTGTAGCATTCTTTTCTTGTGATGTCTTTGGTTTTGAAAATAAGTTGGGAAGAGTTCCCTCATTTTCTCTCTCTCTCTCTTTTTTTTTTTTTTTTTGAAGAGTTGTAAAGATTGGTGTTAATTTTTCTTTGACTATTAGGTAGAATTCATCAGTGGAGCCATCTGTTCTGGGCTTTTCTTTGTGAGAAGTTGTTGGTTGCTAACTTAATATGTTTTGTTGTTATTAATCTGTTATGATTGTTTCTTCTTGACTTTTGGTAATTTCTATCTTTCTGAAAATCTATCCACTTAATCTAGGTTACCATTCTTTTTTATGCATGAGAAAAATGATATTAAAGAGGTTAAAGTAACTTTCCAGAGCTCTTGCCTTTTTATTCCAACCCAGATCTGTTTGCTCCAGGGTGCTAAGATTGTCACTATAGAGGTGTGGCTTCCCTGTGGTAGCCAGGAGGGGAAGCCCACACTTCTGGATGCGTTCTCAGAGGTCCCCAGGGGCCTCCAGAGGCCTGAGACCAAAGCAAAACTCTTATGTCACACTACTTCCTAGCCTTTATATCACTCTACTTCCTAGCTTTCTGCTAGAAGAATGTTCTTTGGAAACTACAAAGTAAAAGATGACAAAATCTGGAAAACTAGCATTTTTACTTCACTAGTATTCTTTAAATTTGTACATTTCAGAACATCATTTTCATATATAGTTAAACTCAAACTTTAAATTTTATTTTCTTAATCTATCACCTTTAATCTCACAGTTTTTCTTAAGTTTATTTAAATTTTTCTTCACTTAATCTCACTCAGAATATTTTAGCTAGTTTTTTATTTTCTTATTCTTGTCATATTTTCTTCTTGAATCTTAGAGTGTTTTATTAAGTATAATTGATGCCAAATTTATACTATTTTTATACCTTTACATTATTTTAAATTTACCTTAAATATTATACTTCTCATATTTTGACTGACATTTTTAATTTTTTTAAAATGTTGCATATACTCAGATAATACAGAAACAAAAGAGTAAGTCACAGTTTCTGACTTTAGGAGGTTTGTTCTCTATTAGTAAACATTTAAATTGTTCTTTACATGTTCCCATTTTAACCTTTATTCTTAAAGTATTTTTATTATTCTTACTCTATAAGTGTGTATACTAATAAGATAACTTTATCGGATTATTAATATGCTAGGTACTATGCTTTGCTTGTTTCATAATTGGTCTCTTACACATCATCCTGCATTAGATACTATCATCACTTTCCTTGTACAGATAATGAAGTTAAGTTCCCAGAAATACAAGTAGATTGACAAAGGTTATATAGCAATCAGATCTGAGATCTAACATTGCTTTTAACCACCATACTTTTCTGGTTAACATGTCGTCTTAAAGCTAAGTATGTTTAACTTCTTAAAACCTAATTCCAAAGAAATTCTGCACCAGACGGCACCAAGCTGATCAATGCTAGAATTCTTAGGAGTAAGTGTCTCTTAGGTTATAGTAATGTTATGTCAAATGAGATGGGACATAAATATTTTTGACTCAAACAACTGGATCACATTGTAAGTAATTTCACCTTAAATAATGTGTTCCCAAATCTGTTACATATTTAAATTCATGGTGTTCAAGAAAAATAACTAGTCCATATAGAACTAGTTTTCCATGGTTCATCTTCCCATGAACATTTTCTCTTGAAAATTAAGCTATTTGGCCAGGGATCCAAAATCGGTATCATTAATAGCATTGCTATTTACATGTACTATCTATGCAAAACACAAGAGGATAGAAATGGTGAGTCTAACTTTCCAACTCCAATTTATACTCTGAAGTCTAAACCAACATTATAAACCTGTCTATATCTGAAGCACAAGTGCTAACTGATCTCATCCTTTTCATCCAAATGTTTTCCTTTTTCTGTAATCATTGTTTCAGTGACTGGCATGGCCACCCACCCCGTACCCAAGCCAGAAATCTGGAAACCATGGACACTTCTTTTTATAATTCACCTCCACTAAAATCCCTCCTGCTAAACATATTCAATCAATTCATGTCCGTTCACTTCATACTCCAAACAAATTTTATTTCATTCTTTCTTTTTATTGCCACAGCTGCTGTCTTACTTTGAGGCTTGTCATCTCTCCTATAGGCTTTTCCTTCTATTCTTCTATCTTTTCAGAGTCTTACCCTCAAATTTGCCTTCTTCCCCAACTTATTCATTCTCTGCACTTCTGCCTTGATGTTCTTTTAAAAATTCAAAACTGTTCAAAGCAAATTATCAAGTCTGATAGACAACATTAACAATTCTTGGAATGGCACATCCAGCCAACTATAATTTGTTCTCCAGTTAACTGTCCATCCCCACTACTTCTTGCTCTCACTTAATGTGAGAGCTTTTTGACTGTTAAAGTCTTCTTTCAGGCCGTAACAGCTTGTACGGATAAATGGGGTAACACTCTTAGTAATCAATTGTGTTTTATCAACCCGTGTCCATACCTGCATATTTCTATCCCTTCTAAAAACCTCTCTCAGCATCTTTTTGTGTATCCTTGGGACTGTTCTATGTGAGCTCAGGAACATTCTTCTTGGCTATGGCTACCATGTGAAAACAGTTCTATCATTCTTATACTTCACATTGGGAATGCTCTCGTCCATGTCAAGAATTCTATTTTGCAATGTTTCCCACTCTGGCACAGAGATCCAAGTGAAGTTCTCCATAGGCCTAAAAATGTATGCATTTGAGGTGTTTCAGGTCTGGGGACCTTTAATAACTCTTTTTTTTTTTTTTTTTTTTTTTGACAGAGTCTCACTCTAATGTCCCATCTAGAGTACAGTGGCATCTTCATAGCTCACTGCAACCTCAAACTCCTGGGTCCAAGCAATCCTCCTGCCTCAGCTTCCTGATTAGCTGGGACTACAGGCATGTACCACCACACCAGGCTAATTTTTTCTATTTTTTGTATAGATGGGGTCTCACTCTTGCTCGGGCTAGTCTCTAACTCTTGACCTCAAGTGATCTTCCTGCCTTAGCCTCCCAGAGTGCTAGGATTACAGGCATGAGCCATCGTGCTCAGCCTCTAATAAGTCTTATTTTGTAATACTGGACTGTAGTTTTATCAGATAAATTCTCCAGATTTTTTTTATTTCTTCTTCTTTAAAAAAAGATCCCTAGGAAGCCACTCTTCACACCTCAATTTTATTTGAAGACCTCTTTGTGCACCCTATGAAATCCTGTAACTTAGAATGTATCTTACTTCATGGTCTTCATTATTTCTCTATTTCTTTGATTTCACCATAAAGTTCCCAGAGTGATTATTCTATTTGTATTTCTAGCATCTACCATAGTGTCTGGAACATAGAATATATTCAACTAATGTTTGTCAAATATACCAAAAAATGTCCTTTCCAACATACACACAAAGAAGCAAGATTTTGGAGACAATTTACTAACTACAAAAAAAAATACAGCTTTTATTTTTCCTACTTTTGTTTCTACCAGGAAAAGGTTTTTTTTAATAAATACAAATGATTTTTTTTCAAATATCATTACAGAATTTTCAACTACAAACTTCAGAAAAAGTTAATTTAAGTGACTACAATCATGAAGACAGAGACTCTTTACACTCCGTGATGTGAGTCATTAATTAGACACCTCATTTATCACAAGTCCTAACTAGGAAAAACAAAGAACAAAAACTAACATAGGATTCTGGTTTTGTTAGAAAAAAGTTCAAGGAATCTGTATTTAATCAAAACACACAAAACAATCTCCAGATACTGTCTGGCAACAAATTTAGGATTTGCAGAGCTGAAATGTTGACTTGCTTAGCTATAAATATTGCCTTGATGAAAGACAGTCCTAACTCTGTCTTCTACCACTTTACGTCTGATAAGAAAGTTGCTATTGCGTATGTTTTCTTAGGAACCCATTAGATCTAACCTTTCTGGAAACATACAGAGAGGCATAATTATTCAACATGAAAAGAAATATCCAGATTTTATAAGGAAAATGCCGACAAAACAAAAGTGCAAAAAAATGAGAGAGAGTAAGAACAAGAGTGAAAATTTTATTCAAAACTAGGGACTAATCCAGCAGCTTTATGAAAAAAAGAAAACTTCTTTTCATGTCAATGAGAATTCTGAATTCTCAAGTTTGGGCACAGGGCCCATCCTGTGATATGTTAACTAAAAGGCATCTGCCTTCCTTTTTTCCATTTCCATGGCAAACTGTTTCAAGGTGCTTCATGAAAAGCTTCTGAAAACCAATGTGTTCTAAAAGCCACAAGTTTGATGACTGATGAAAGAATCACGTGCAAGAGAGTTTTTGCATCTCTTCTTTAACTGAGATCTTGAAAAACCAAATGACTGAGACAGAACATGATTCATCTTCTGCAAATGCTGAAGAGTATGTTTAGCTGTCACCTATTGCATTTTGCAGCAGTGCCTATTCAAAAGCTCCCCAAAAGATGCAAGCACCATTCTAAGGGGGAAGAAAAAAACTGAGTCATGATGAATCTCATACTCAACTTTCTTTCATTTATGAAAATTGTGAGTGTTTAAGTGTTACAAATAGTCACATTTCTATTCACATTATGTGAAAACACATACAGTAAGTCTTCAACTATACAGAACTCCCTAAAAATGAGTTATTCTGAACAGCTGAATGTTCCAGATGGCTTGGGGTTAACCCACTAAGTTCCAGCTAAAATATAGCAAATATTTTCAAAACAGACAGAGTTTTGTCCATCTAAAATTTTTCAAGGCATAGACCATACATAGAGATGAGTCAAATTTTTACAAGTTTATTCTATAAGCATACACAGTGTACAAAATATTTAGTATAATTATCTGCACAGAATAAATACCTCAAGAAATAGTAGTAATTGTTGCTACTATTTCTTTGACTACAGATTCTTTGTCTTTTTGGTAAATATTGTGTTAAAGATAGGCCATCCTTAGATTAGTTGACTGAGAACCACTTAAAACAGAAAAAAAATTCAAGCAATCTATTTGGATAGATGGACTATATGATGTTATACTACCACTTTATGGTAACTCAGCATTTGCAAAAGAATTAAGCAACAATATTCAGTGACTCTGATGATATAAAGGGCAAATTAGTCATTTTTGTATTGATTGATTGACATGTTACAGAATTCTTCCTGTGCATGAATGCTTATTTCTTCCTTTAAGAGTGTCACTATTTTATTTCCCTTGTTACATGAAAGAATTATGTCTACAGCTTAGTGGAATGAATGACATACAGTAGATGCAAAAATATTTGTTTAATAAAGAATTCTGGAGCACCCTCCAATGCACTGCATTTGTATTTGGCATTGCACAGGTTTTCATATCTTCTTCCTTTCTCTATTATTTTGTAACCTCACTAGAAAGCCAAAATGAATAATCTCCCATATTGTTAAACTATAATGGTTTGTATTATATAACTTCAAGGGCTAAACTGTAAGCTCCTTGTGATTGGTGACCATGTTGTATTCAACTTTATCTAGTTAGAGCCACTGTAGTTTCTAACACATGGGAGGCATCCAATGTTCATGGATAGAATGAGCATAACACTGGTGGTATTTTCTTATCATATTCTTCTCCTCCTGCCTCACTTTCCATTATGGTGATTCATCTTTCTATTCCTAAAAGACTACAATTGTGAAGTCCAGGTAGATTTTAATTTTGACCCAGGAGAGGTGTTCTCTCTTCAACTATATATCTAACAAATAAAATGTTAGTATAATTATTCTCTCAAAAAATAGTTACAATTAATGGTTCAGAGAAAACCTTTGGAGTAATAGAGTTGTGTATGAAGTTTCATCACCAACTAGTTTTGTGACCTTGGAAAAATGACAATTTTTTGTATCCCATGTAAATAAAATCCATACAGCCCTTGTGGCTGTCAAGAGGATTAAGTGAGTTAATTTCCATACAGCCCTTAAGATAATGCCTAACACTTAGTAAGGTGCTAAGTACCCCCAATGGTCTTCATATATCTTATGTGTGGATTATTTCCTATGTGAACCATGTTCTAAAAAGATCACAAAGCACTACTTTAGTTGTTACAAGACATTGTAGGTCTTTCTCGTATACTATCATTTGAACTGATAAAAGAAAGATTCACCCCTTTTGGCTAACTTTGTTCATTGCTCTTGGTTATTTCTTTATCAAAAAAAACATTATGGTTTAGCTTTGGTACTTTTAAATAAGAAATTGTTCCAACAGCCTAAGAATTCTTGAAAGCTAATCTCTAAACAGTTGTGTTTTTAATTCAGTAATATCATACAAACTATTAATTGCCTATAGTTTTGAATAGTATAATTTTGTCATGTGGTATTTTATAAATTAATGCTTATAATTTCTTAATATTACCAACTTAGGTGAAGGGGATAAAAATGAAAAACATCTTTTCTTAGTAGTTACAAATTTTACCTTTGGTTAAACATTTTCTTGGGTTTATACTTTAGAAATGCTTTACATATTTAACAGTGGGCATAATATTTCTGAGGAAAGAACCACAGTTTGTCAGGAGTGAGGCAAGGTGAAGTTAGATTATCAGAGAAATCCACAAACATTCTATTGAGCATCAAAGATCATAAAGAAAAACACTATATCCATCTGAGTTTACTTTTACAAAGATCTTATAGATTCATATAAAACAGTAAAGAAATATAATTAAAAAGACTTCACAGATGTTTCAGATTATAAAAACATCTAAAATTCTAATTAAACATATAGATTTGTCTATAGATGCTATGTTTTACTCTTAATATTGAAATGGTCCAGGGATCTGTCCTGGAACCTTTGTCCTCATCACAAATTCATAGGTGATCTCATGAAGTATCATTACTTTTAAAGATTTGAGAAGATACTTCACAAAAACCAATAAGTAAGGAAAAGCTATTAATCATTAGAGAAATCCAAATTAAAAATCATAGTGAGATACCACTATATATCCACGTAGAATGGCTAAAATCAAAAAGACTGGCAAAATACTGCTGAAAACGTGGACCAACCAACCATATGCATCACATGTCACAGGAAAAGTTTGATAGTTTCTTAAAAAGTTAAATTTACAAAGTCTGTATCTCAGCAATTCTATTACTAGGCATTAACCCAGGAGAAATGAAGTTGTATGTGCACAGAAATATTGCTATGTTCATATCAGATTTATTCATAACAGTCAAAACTGGAAATAACCAAATATTCATCAGCTGATGAAGACATAAACAAAATGCAAATTTCTCATACTATATTCAGAAATAAAATACATCAAACTATTGATACTTAAAACAACATGGATAAATGCCACAGACAAAATGTTAAGGGGAAAATGCCTGGATAATCCCATGAATTTCTAAAAAGGAAGAAGTAAGTGATGGTGAAATACATCAGACCAGTGGTTGCAGGGTGAAGAGTATTGATTAGAAAGAAGCATGAAGGAATTACTGAGGTGATGGAAATGTTCTAATTCTGAATAGTGGGCTGAGTACATGGGTATTTACCCATCTGTCAAAACTCTGGCTGGACTATAATAT